CTCTCTCTCTCCTCTCTCTCTCTCTCTCTCTCTCTCTCTCTCTCTTCACCGGTTTCTCTCGGTCACCAGCCATCACGGGCCATTTTTCCCCCCCCTCCCCTTTCCCCTCCCCCGCTCCGCTCTCTCGCTCTCTACACCCTCTATAAATTTCAACCGGAGTATTTTCTCTTTACGTGTACCTGTTATTGAACGAGAGAACTGCCAATAACGGCGGATAACTGCGTCACGTTTCGCCACGCGAGCCCAACCTTCCCCTCCCCTTCTTCTTCCTCTCGATCCGCTTTCGAACCCGCGCGCGCGCCCTTCCTTCCCCTTGATTCTATTTCTAATATCGTGTCGACATCGGCGCACATAAATTATCCCCGGCTTTCGATACGGCGTTTCGTTCCAGCCGCAACCCTTCCCCCCATTTCGCTCCACGTTCCTCTGACGGGTGGATGAGTTAACGCATCGTACGACGATCATCGTTGCTTGGGTATATTTCGAGCAATTTTGTTGTCGTCTCTCGTTTCGTGAGACAAAAGAATACGATAAAGGGAGAATCGTTTACTGCGAAGCTTTTTTTAATCGTTAATTGAAATCGATTCGAGGGAGGGGAAAATTTTGGACGGAAGGGAAGAACGAAGCGGAGTTTATTCTTTCATCGATCGAATACGGCTCGTATTCCGAAGCGTTAGGCGTATCGTTCGGATGGATCTCGGTGAAGTAATCCAGGGGGCTCTCCTCGCATTCGGGAAATATAGCGTCGCAGGAGTCGATCCCTCGTCGGCCCATAATTTCAGCGGCGTGATACACTCGATCAAAGTCGGTCCTGAACGCCTCGGAGGTGGTCGACGGTCTGAAAAGCGGGACGGGAAAATTAATCGATCGCCTCGAGTTATTTAAATTTCGCGTTAATCCCCCGATGAATTTCGCCGAGAATTAAATTCGACCCTCGGTTTCGTTTACACCTCTGTCTCGATAATGTCGTTATTCTTCGTTTTATTCGATATCACGAACCATTGTGCATTCCCTTCCACATACGAGCAATTGGAAATTAGAGCGGTTACTAAAATAACTAGTTTGATAAGAAAAAATTACGTCGTACTTGACATACGTATTTGAGGTTAACTTATTTCGTCGCTCAACGAATGATAGAACGAAATCGAGAATGCCTGGGGGGGGGGTTCATCGATCCTCTTTAGAATCGCTGGGATACTCACGTGAGGAGAAGACGGACGAGCTGAGAGGCGAGGCCGTGAACCCCGTGGAAAGGCGTGGCAGAGGCCTCGCAGATCGCCCTCAAAAGGCACGCTTTGCCCGATCGCGAATCACCGAGCGCCGATTCGAGGATTTCGTAAATTTCCCATCTGGTGAGGACGCGCGCCACTCCTATCCGGGCATACATAAAATGATGAGAAATGGGGATGTTACGCGACAAAAGCTTGTTAATGCGTAAAGAAAAATCCGCTTCCCATCGTCTGAAGGGGTAGCGGATTCGATGAAAATCTTCCTTCAACTCCGAGTAAAATTCGGCTGGTGAGATTGCGTTAAAGTTGAACAAAAAGTGGAGATTCGTGAGAATTTGAAAATTCGTGGGACTCGCGAGAAAAAAATGGGGGAGCGGGATAGGATCTCTGAAGAATTGGAGAAAGGGTTGAGAGAGGAGGCGGATGTTTGGCCGGAAAAACGAGAAATGCCGGAAGTTGGTGAACGAAAGAAAGAAGAGAGAGAGGGTGCGTGGTAATACCTTGGTAATCGGGGTTCGGCTCGCCATCCCCGTCGACCTCGACACCGTCGGGGCTGATCGATCTGTCATAGCGAACGTATGAATCCGTCAAGTAGGAGGCGTTATAGGGCAGGGCGTAATTAAATTTCATCACATATCCGATAATCGTGCTGACGTCGACTTCCATGGGTAAACCGAGGCCGAGGATGAACTGGAACGGTTTTCAAATACACGAAGGTGTCATCGATCGTTTATAACAACCGGCAATCGAATCCCAACTGGCAGCCTCGTTCTCGTTCAGTTCTAGTTAGCTCGTGACATTCGACTGAACGAAATTAGATGCAGGAGGAAGGGAGGGGAGGGAGAATTATCGCACGAATCATCTGCCAGTGAACGCGAATAATTCAAACGTTTCGTCAACCATTCATCGATCGATGACAAGTTCGCTTATACACTCGTTTATACGGTAAAGATACCGAGTTAAATTGAATACGAAAAATTATTTCCTCTTCGATTCGAAACAAAAATATTCGTATACACGAATTTTTGAATATTTACAATTCGTGATATATACACTGGCAAAGATTCCCAAATTTCTTTATACTTTTCTTTCTTATCTTTATATATATATTTGTTCTTTGCGCGCTGGAAAAAAAAAAAGAAAATTTATTGCTTACTCCTCTTATTCAGAGGAATTTTACGATCGAATCCGTTCGTCGAATCTTATCGGCTCGTTAATATCGTTGTTTCCCTCCACTTCCGCCTGCACACGGTTCGTAATCGTTTACAATTCCCATGGAATTACGATTATCGATCGATCGTCCAATTCCACGGTTGAATCGCAAACTATAATAACGCGCACGCTGCAATTACAGATAATTGCATCGCGTTTGCGTGTATGAAACGCCTATCGAGCCATCACCGAGTCAGACACCGTTGTGTCTTTAGAAACCTACGCCCCTCCCCTTCAACCCGCGTTCACACTTTCACCGCGTTTAACGCGGTATGCGCATCGCTTAAACAATTAGCGATCGATACCCAATTAGAATCACTCGCACAATTAAACGTATGGTGGAGAGGGGGGGATTGTCGATCGAAGCGACAATCGGTGTAATTACCCGCCGATATAATCTATCTGGGGTAAACTTTACCCCCTCGTCCTTGGACGAGAACATCCTTCATTTATCCGTGATCGTCGAAATGACTGAAGCAACACGCTCGACGCGAGGAAACTCGAATTTTCCAAAGAAGGGAAAAAAAAGTTTAAGTAAGTATTGTTTATTTGAAAAAAAGGCAAAGATATCAAGAGTTACCAGAGTTATATACCTGGACTTTGGTCGGTGCGTTCGGTCCAGGCGTTGGAAACACCAAATACCTCTTGTCGCGTTCGAAACACGATCCGGAATGTTGACACGTGAACAGAAGCGAAAGCAGCAAGAAACGCCGCATGGCGATGGTCCAAGCGTAGCGGAGCGAATGTGTCGGAAATCTTTCGGCGTCGAATCCCGATGATCGACCAGATGGCGAGCGCTCGTTAATAGACGCAATTAGTTGTGTATCGCGAGTTTTGGCCGAATAATAAACCGGCTTCGATCTCGGCGAACGCGTGGCATAGCGAAGCATCATCCGTTTACGGTCAAATTATTAATGGCGACGATCGATTCCCTTCGAAACATTCCTCGCGTTCGTCGAACTCGTTCTCTGTGACGGATATATCTTTTCTTTCGCTTCGAATTTCGAAATGGAAGAGCGGATTTAAATCCAGGCTTATCCTCGATTCGCAACACATCCTCTCCCTTTCGCAATCATTGTCATCACGGTCGCGTTTCATACGATATTTGCGTATTATTTTCGTATTATTACTTTCGTATCCCTTTCGTCACGATCATAAATCTTCCCTAACAACGTGGAAAAAGAAGAAGAAGAAGGAGGAGGAGGGGGGAGGAGGGGGGGGATATATCCTCCTCGGAAGCAAAGCACCCTGGGGATTGATTCGAAACGGGCGCTGAGATATCGCTGAGAATTTCCCCTCGAGTATAAACGTGGGTGGTGGTATGAAAACCAAGCCGGGCTAATGAGAGAGAAAAACGCGGTTATGAAAGGTGATTATCGAGAGAATAGACGGTAGGTAGGATCGAAATCTCTCTCTTTCTCCCTCTTTCCATTCTTTATTCGCTAGCTGTCCCCGACGCTCATTTCCCCTTTTGAATAGGGGGCGGCTGAGTGGCTCACGGTCTTGAGGCTGGCTTGAGAAAGGCGGAAGAAAGAATCGGATTTGCGGATCAAATATGTCGAGGGGGGAGGGATCGTTCCACTCGTTGTCGAGCCAGCCATCCCTGAATCGGCTGACACCGATCGTTTGGTCGAAGAAAAAGGAGGAGGAAAAATGAAAATTGCCTGTTCGAGTATTCGTTCCTCTTGTTACAACTACAGGGATATAGATCGATCAAAATTCTTTACAAATTTGACATCGATCGAGATCGATCATTATTTTAATAAACCTGTCTCTCGTATTCGTTTCGGCAATTGTAAACGCGAGAAGATTTCGCACGGATCCGAACGATGAAAACATCGGGCCGGCATCCTTTTCACGGATTGAACACGTTTCGTCGCAGGCCGGTAACTGCGGTTCATTCATCTTCCCACAGCCCGATGAACGCTTTCACGCTGGCCTGCGAGGCCAGTTTATTTCGGCGACAATTTATCCCCATCTGGGATAGACGATCTCTAAAAATAGTGGCACGCTTTCATCTATCCACTCCCCCTTTTCAACTCCCCGTTGAATTCGGTAATAGGAAGAAGAAGAAGAAGAAGAAGAAGAAGGATCATACGTTGCTCCAATATGGCTACGGTGAACGAGGTGTTTGCACCTCGTTGGAATTGAAACGATAAATTGCCAAACACGCGATCTTCATAGCGATACCGTAATCGCCGCTACTCGAAAACACTCCTGTTCACTTCCGATCCCGGGTACGTAGTTATCGCGTCCCGTGTTACACGATTTGCTTCAATTATACCTCGCGATTTTTTTCACCTGCGCGGTTTCCAATACCGTTTAAATTGGTGCTAATCGAAATTTCTCGACTGGCCGCCAAGTGTTTACAAGCGCGTTTCAAGTTTGGCGACGAATAATTATCTTCTAAAAAAAGAAAAAAAAACTTGGGCGAGATATAAATTTTCACGACGAGTCCAATCCAAGTCGTTTCCATCCCCTTTCCATTCGACGTAACATTCAATTTAAAAATCGTAACGGGGTTTGGACGCTGTACAAACCAGCATCGAGCAAAATTTTCGGCCCGAAATTTATCATTTTTCGGGGGTTTTCTGGGTCGTTGAAGTCGAAAATCACGGTCATTTTTCACGGGAATAAACGGTTCTCAGAGTGTATATATATATAGAGCAACAAAAAATAGTTGGAGAATTTTCGTAATAAATGTGTCATATGTTTCTCGGCCGGGACGTATGAAGAAGGATGATGTAGGATGTCCTTACAGTAAATCGTCGACGAAATCGTTAATTTCGAAAAGCATCGCTTAATTCCGCAACAATATTCATATTAAAATAACCGTGACTTTCCAATTCCAAAAAAAAAAAAGAAAAAAGTCTTCGAAACGACGGACAATGAGCCGACAATTTTATTCGATGGTACAATATAAAATGATATTCGTTTACGAACGATCGATAAATTGTTGCTCACTCATCGACGCTCATATACCAAGGCAGCAACGCAGTTAAATTATCGCGCCAAGGAGGAGGCAAGTCGGTTCCAAAAATTTTAATGCGAGCAAAAGGATTTCCTTTGGGAAATGGATATGCGATTACCCTTTATTTTCGCACGCGGAGAAAGTACGAAAGGCGGGTTTAATAAACGGCAAACGGAATAATGAATTCGCTTCGAAACACACAGATGTGGATGAACAAGCGGCAGAAGCGAAAGAGTTTTAATTCGTGCCATTTCCTCTCGCATCGAATCGCTCTCTCGACACTCGCCAAACTTCCGCTATTATTCGTTTATTATTATCATCATCATCATCATCATCATCATCATCATTCCAACGTAGAGGTTGCAACGAGGGGAGGAGAAGGTAAGAACCTGTGTGTGCGGTCGCGTTCATCGTGGATCGCGTTATTCCTGTTTAGAGAACGCGGATCGTAATTTTGACCAGGCTTTGAACGGATTTCGCCGCGGTCTCTCACGGGGCTGGCCGTGGGAACGTTACATCTCTATCATTAAAATTAGAATAGTCGACGCTCGGAGGAAATTACAGACCGCCGGAACTCGAGGTGGAAACCGAGGCGAAAATCTAACAACTATTCCGGATACTGCGAAATACACCGGTGTGCTGGTTCTCCTGCGAAAAAATACGAACTTTGCCCTGCCTTCATTCTTCGACCTCCCCCTCCCCCCCCCTCTCCTTTTTTCATTCCTTTTCGTTTCGTTTCTTTTCGATTCGGATCGTTCGGTTTTTGGAAAGAAAAAAGATCGGTGTTCGATTGACACGAGTTTTTTTTTCGCGAGTTTATCGCCCTCTCGAGAGATTATTGGCCGATAAAATTTTAACGTTAAGAATAAACGTTGCTTCGATAATTCACTCGAATAATTTATTATTCAAATAAACGTCGAGCATCAAGGTTGGCGGTGAATGGATTGGCGAGATTATGGGAAGAACGGTTAACTCTATTTAAAAAAAGGGATAAGTAAAGTTGTTATACTTAATTTTAATTTACACTCCTCGATGCTTTTCTCGTGCATATAGATACATACAGAAGGAATAAATCTTTACGCTTCTCGTGTCACTCGATGCTCTCGGTGTTAATTGGTTGCAAGTGCGGATAAAATTGCGTCGACTAATCGTCGATCGTTCTACGTGGAATTTTAACCTTTCTCGTCATTTGGAAATTTGACGGGCGCAATGCAACATCCTCCTCGTGGATGGCTCTTAGAAAAATCCAGGATTCGCGGATACCGCGACGATCAATTATAATAAAAGGTGTCGAAAAAATTTTTGAAAAATAGTTTCGTTGTAGCGAAACTGTTTACCATCGTTAACGCTTTCCTCGAAGATAAATTTTGCTATAAATCCGTGTCGTAAATCCTGCTGGCCATTTGCACGATCGATATATTTTATTATAGCGCAGCTTAACCGCTACAAATTATTCGAATGGAAACGAATGAAATAACGAGTGTTCGTGATAATTGTACGATTCCCAGGCTTGTAAATTCGATCTACTACTAAATTGAAATTAAACATTTCTTCGAATCCGATATTTTCGAAAGCTGTCCTCCGATTAAATAAATAAATTAAGAATTTTTTCACAAATGTGGAAAGTATCCGAAGATCAAGAAACACCAGGAAGGGGAGGAGGGATAGGAATAATGTCGCCCGACTATAGGGTGTGACCTAATAAATCCACGTTGAAATTCATCGACACGTAACCGGCATAGGATTCAATTATTCCGAGCAAAGAGGAGAAAGAGGAGGAGGAGGAGGAGGAGGAGGAGGCGGTTATTAATTCATGGGAGTTTTTTTTTTTCGCGGATTATGTAAATCGAGTTTTATCGCTCGTTCGGCGTATCTGGCATCTTGAAAACTCGTTGAATGATGCAAAGGTTTTTAAAGAACTGACTTCGAAACACGATGATCGCGTCGTGGTGATCGAATTAATATCAAATATCCCGTTTCGCCTCGTTTAAATTTATCCTCGACGATAACGTCTGTCCAGGCCAACGAAGAGGCTGGAAAAAAACTGTGAAGAGCACGAACGAACGAATGGCTTGCTGTCCCAGCAAATCTGTCCACGATTCGATAAATTTTTCGGGAAAACGAAAGAAAGGGAAAAAAATTAAAATCTTAAGTTTAACAAGGATAAAAGGAAAGAGCATAAAAACCGCATAAAAGCAAGAGGGGAGGGAGGGATCGTTGGGGAAAAACGGAGGGAAAAATTTTTCCCGTTGCATCCCGGTGGAACATCGATGCAAATTCCATTCAGAAATTACAGCTTATAATCATACTTATGGATCGGAAACGGATTATTTTTTCAGTCCCACGGTGATCCATTATTCATATTGGACTCGCGATTTTTACAACAAAAGGGGGGGTACGATCCCTCGGAATTAAAGAGGAGGAAGAGGAAAAATCGGATTTCTTTCCGGGCCCCAACGTGGATCTCCGCGATATCGTCTCTCTCTCTCCACCTCGACCTCGATCTCGTATTCTTCTTCGAGTCTAAGGATAAAGAGGGAGCGAAGCGTGGGAATCGTGAAGGGGGGAGGGAGGGGGCCATTCATTTCGAGAACCGCACTCGAAGGAATCGGTTTTTAATCGCGGCCCATTACGAGCGAAAAATCTCGACGATTTGTCTCGGTTAATAAAGTTATTTATTTTCAAGTATTAGAGACAGGATCGGTGGAGAAAACTGCTCGCTCGTTGAGAAGGATGGATTTATATATATATATATATATACACTTTGGATAGGAAATGGTTATGAAACGGTTACCGAACGATGATGATGTGGTTGGTGGTTGGATGAAAGAAGAACAACCGACGACGGCGACGCTCTGTCCCCGTAAAAAGGTAACAGACGCATCTGCGGTGAATAGGCACTTCGTCCTGAGGAGGAACAATCGTCTCCGACCTGTTTGTGAAAACGGAAAAGTGTCGCTATACGTCATACACGAGCGGTCGATGCACGGGGAATAAACGTTTCTGGAGCAAAACGACGAGAGAAAAGTACAAAAGGGTCGAGGAGGCAGGAGATATTCAGGCGCCGCTGTATTTTTTTTTTTCCTTCCTTTTTTTTTCCTTCTTTCTCTCTCTCTCTCT